TACAAAAAAAGAAAAGAGACCTAGTCTGATGAACTTTCTCCTAGGATCAAAATCTTAGTCTGATGAATCTTTCTCCTAAGATAGAAATCTTAGTCTGATGAACTTTTCTCCTAAGATACCAAAAAATATGTAGAAAAAAGGCTTTGTCTGATGAATCTTTTTCCTAAGATAGAAAACATAGTCTGACGAATTTTCTCCTAGGATATTTTGAAAAAAAAGGAAGTCTGGATTTGAAAAAAAAATGGGTCAATTTTTAGTTTTCCTAAGTTATCAATGTTCAGTTTTCTTGAAATCAGGGGCCCCGCCTGGAGAATAGGGTCAGTCTTTACTTTAGTCAAGTTTAGTTTATAGTTTTCCTAGTATATTCTTTAGTTTACTCTCATCATTGCATCAATAGTACAAGTGGTTTACAATTTTGCTAACAACTCACAAATCTTCCTAGTGCAAACTGGGGCAGAAAAAATTTCTTTTATTTTGTCTGTTTTATTGTAATCAGGCACCCACTTGGAGAACAAGGGAAGACACCTCAAGTTTCAAGGGAAAACAATTTCGATGGAAGACAACTCGAGTTTCAAGGGAAAGCAGTTTCGAAGGAAGACAGTTCAAGTTTCGAGGGAAAATGGTTCAAGGTGCAAGGGAAAACAGTGTCAAATAACAAGAGAAGACGGTTCAAGTTTTGTAATTAGGCGCCCGCCTGGAAAAAAAGGGAATTCAATTCAGAATGCAATTCAGGTCAGCAACAAAAGAAGCTCGCGTCAAGAATCCGAGTCAGCAGTCTTAGATAATCAACAGAAGTTAGTCCCAATCCAGAATAAAAAGATAAAAAACAAAAAGAAAGACAAGAAGTGAATCCAAATGCAGAAGTTAATGAAAGATGTGAGCTGCTCAAGACAGGGCTGGTCACAAGCTCTGCATGTCCGGTCTTGGTTTGAAAAGCTGAAGAAGATTGAACCAACACCTGCGGCTAACAAGCATAAAGATTCAGATTAGGGTCCGCATGAAGAACCAACCAATAGTCAAGATCAAGCTTCAGAAGATTCATAGATAGGAATCTTGTAACTCGTAGTTGATAGGTTTAGTTAGTCTTTTTTATTTTGATTTTGATGTAATAATGGGACCGCAGGCCGGAACCTCAGCGGAACGGCACCTCGGTACTCCATCATCTCATTCACTTCTGAACTACACGTGGGCTGATTCCTTTATAGCCAAGGATTCAGATACCAGGGCACGGTCATATTCCCCTTTTATCAGTTTTTTGGTCTCCTTTAATAAGGGTCGGGTCAAAAACCTGTCTAGTCATTCTTTGTCTGAAAACTCTTCGCGTTTCCAGTCAAAGAAGGGCAGGTGTAGACATGTGATTTTTGACCCTCCCCAAGATTTTTCATATTTTAACACGTAAATATTTAGTTTAGGCCTAATATAGTCATTTCAACTAATTTTGACTACTTTTGCTTTATTTTATCACAAAACATGAAAATTACAAAAATTATCTTCACTTATTAGCTAATTAATATTTTTATCTAGTTACTTTTAATTTGTCTACTAAATTCAAAAATACAAAAATAGTTCCAGGAATATTATCTTAATTTTACAATGATTTTTACATTTTTTATCTTTTAGTATGATATTTTGAAAATAAAAAAATAGATTTGTTTTAATGGTTAGTCTTATTTTAATAGTTATTTTACTTAAATAAGATTAACTGGTAAATGAGATTGTATTTTTAGTCTCGTTCACCGAGAAATAATAAACTTGGGCTCGAGCAACCCATTTTAAGCCTAATTTTGGACCTAGTCCATAATTTTCAAGCCCATAATTTCTAGGCCTATACCCTAACCTAAAAAAAACCCTATAAGAACAAACAAAACTCTAGATCCCTACCCGAAGAGTGAGGGCCATTCTTCTTCAGAATTGAATAAGCCGTTTCCATCAGAGAGGACAAAACAAAAAATCCAAAAAAATGAGCTAACCTAAAGTAAGAGACTAGCGCCATATTCTTCAGAAAAAGCCAAGTTCTTCTTCTTCATGGACATGGAATAAAACCCGAGAACAATAAAAGAACCTAGATTCAATCGTTTTAGACCTTAGGAGAACACCCATCGATTAATCTTCTTCAGCTATTTTCAACATAACAACATACATCCCTATTTTACTGCCTAGAAACAGTAGGATACACACAAGACAGAACCGCCAGCTTGCCGAAAAACATGTAGCTTTAGTGACTCTCCATTAAATCCGGCGAAGCAGAGTTCGAATCTAGCAATAAGTTCAACTCCAAACTCCCTGAAACTACACCAGAGCAGTGTGCAAATCAGCTCGAAACCTCCCCCTAAAGCCAGTCGAGTTGGGTCTGAATCCGTGCTCGTTTGAGTTTTTCGGAGCCGTCGAGGTTCGGAGTCTCATTTTGAAGCTTCGTTGTATCCATTGTGAGGTCCGTATGGCATCTGTGGTTCAAGTTTCAGTTTGTGTCGCTTGCTATAGCCATTTTTGCGTCCAAAAGTCATGAAGTTGGAAACTCTCATTAATTGGCAACACTAGGTTCTTTCTTTCCTATCTCCTTTAATTTGATATACATGGTTTTGATGTTTGTCGTGTGATGGCTTTACTTGTTTCATTGTCTGTTAAAGTTCTCTTAAGTTGGTTGATCTATATGGATTTTCTCGTAGAGGCAATATATGCAGCTCAATTTTATGATTTACTTCGCTAACATTTTCCTATAAGTATTAACGTGGGCTCTAAAATTTACTGATTAAAATCTTAGTATAAAATCATGACTTCAAGATTGGTTACTAACGAAAATAAAGTATTAAGTCACTTTTCCATATTTTTGGGTAAGGATGTTAAGTTTTACTGTTAATGCTTGTATTTTCCCTTTTTTTTAATTGTATATTTTGATCATAATTGTACAGTTTCGCACTTTTGTATAATTGGGCCGTATATGAAGTCAACAGCAGGCCATGTGGTAGGGATTTTGAAATTGCATAATGTTAGGATTTTTAAAGCTTAAGTTTTGTTTTAACTTAGTTTGGGCCAAATAATCAATTGGGCCAGTAACTTGGTTTGGTAAATATTTCAAGTTGATGGTTATTCTAGATTTGGGCATAATAATGATAAAGAATACAAGCTAGGGTAATGTATTTATTTATTCCATAATTATAATAATCAAATCTTACACCTTTCCACGATAAGTTCCATAATCAATGGCCTTTCACAAACTCAAATTAGCTTAGGAAGATCATGAATATCGTAGTTGCTTTAGGCGCGTAATTTTAATAATTTACATTCCTAAACTTGGGTGCGTATTTATGTGACCCAAATCCAAATCTCAACCACGTTAGATAAAATATGTTGTGGACTGTGGGTGCATTTATGTGGCGTGGTTCAAAACGCGTTTTATGTGACTTTGAATCTTCCTAAAAATATTAAATAAAAACGGTTATAAAGTTAAAATTGAACCATAGGCTAAAACATATATTAATATCAAGTAAATAGGCCAAATATAACAGTTGAGCGACTGCGCTAGAACCACAAAATTCGGGAACGCCTAACATTTTCTCCTGGGTTAACAGAATTGCTTACCTGGATTTATGTGTTCGCGGACTGTTAAACAGGGTCAATCTTTTCCTCGATTCGGGATTTGAACCGGTGACTTGGGACACCATAAATTATCCCAAGTGGCAACTCTGAGTTTAATAAATAAATAATCCTATTTCGATTGTCACTTAAAGTTGGACAAAACTCCATTATACTACCCTTCCGGGGGTGTAGGTAAAAAGGGAGGTGTGACAAGCGTCGAGAAAGGTAAGGATCTCATGGCCAGCCGTAGCATCGATCAATCGATCGATGTTGGGTAGTGGGAAAGAATCTTTAGGCCATGCTTTGTTCAAATCCTTGTAGTCTACACACATTCTAAGTTTATTCCCCTTTTTAGGGACTACCACTACGTTAGCTAGCCATTCGGAATATTTTACTTCCCTAATGGATCCTATTTTGAGAAGTTTTGATACCTCTTCTTTGATGAGTGCATGCTTTACCTCAGACTGAGGTCTCCTTTTTTTCTTCACCAGCTTAAATCTGGGATCGACACTTAATCAATGGGTAGTTACCTCCGGTGAGATCCCTGTCATGTCTAAGTGGGACCAGGAAATGCTGTCAATGTTATCAATAAGGAATTGAATGAATTTTTTCCTTAGTTCGGGGGTTAACCCCGTCCCTAGGTATACCTTTAGTTCTGGAAGATAATCGATCAATACGGCCTGCTCGAGTTCTTCGACCGTGGACTTTGTCATGTCCGATTTCTCGTGGCAACAAAGGCTCGGGGGTGACGAAATCTTCTTCTTCGTCATTGGACACCTATTCGTCGATCACCTATCCCTTGGGCTCAACCGAGGGTATGGGTTGTGATTGCTATTTGGCAGCCTGTTTGTTTTTGACTTCTCCGATGTAGATGATGTCGATATCGGTACCAGGTCATGTGCTGCAAACATCTCCTTAGCTGCATGCTGCTCTCCATATACTGTTTTATTGCCATCCTTTGTTGGGAACTTCATCATTTGATGAAGGGTTGATGGCACAACCCTCATGCTATGGATCCACGGTCTTCCAAGTAAAGCATTATAGCTCATATCTCCTTTGATGACATGGAACTTGGTGTCTTGTATGGTTTCGACCACGTTGATTGTGAGGATGATTTCCCCCTTCGTCATTTTGCTTGCCATGTTGAATCCATTCAAGACTCGAGAGTCAGGTATGATTTGGTCAAGCAACCCGAGCAGCTCCATGACCATTAATCTGATTATATTTGTCGAGCTACCTATATCCACGAGAACACGATTAACTTGAATTTTATTTAAAATGATAGAAATTACCAGTGCATCATTGGGAGGCTGAGATAAGGCCTCGATATCTTCCTCGCTGAATGAGAGGGTGCCTTCGGGCATGTAGTCCCGAGTCTGTTTCTCCCTTATGATGGAAACCTTGGTACGTTTGAATATAGGTCCCTATGGGACGTCGACTCCTCCAATAATTATGTGAATGACATGTTGAGGTTCTTCGGGCTCATTCTTCATGTTTGCATCCCTTTCTCGAAAATCGCTCTTGGCCTGGTCGTTGAGAAATTCATGAAGATGCCCTTCGTTGAACAATCGGGCTACCTCCTCTCTGAGCCGCCTACAATCTTTGGTCCTGTGCCCATGAGTACCATGATATTTGCACACCAAGTTGGGGTTCCTCTGAGAAGCATCAGTCTGTATAGGCTTGAGCCATCTAGTATCTCTAATTTTTCCAATGGCTGAGACGATCCCCGATGAATCAATGCTAACGTTATATTCCGATAATCGGGGTGCCTCCGCTGGTCCCAAGTGTCTAACAAACCCGGTTTTGCTCATGAGTCCCCGGGAACTTTGACCTCGATTTGCTCTTCGATCATTCTGAGGTAAGTTACGCCTTGAAATGTTCCTTTGATCCTCGACGTATGGCTGATATCTTTCCTTATTCAATCTTGACCCCTATTTGCATTTCCCTTCTCCCTTGCTAGTAACCTGCTTGGGTAAACTGAGCCCGAGGGGCCTCCCAACTAGTCATCCCCGACCCTAATTTTTATTGGTACCTGTTATGCACATCCGCCCAAATCACAGCAGGATACTCGACCAAGTTCTGCTTTAGCTGCTTCGAAGCTATCGAACTTCATTCATTTATCCCTTGAGTGAAGGCTTGTACGGCCCAGTCATCGGAGACTAGTGGTAACTCCATTGGTTCTGATTGAAAACGGGATACAAACTCCATCAGCATTTCGTTCTCCCTTTGCTTTATTTTGAATACATCGAACTTCCTTGTTGAAACTTTTATGGCACCGGCATGTGCCTTCACAAATGAGTCTGCCAACATGGCAAACGAATCAATAAAGTTCGGGGGTAGGTTATGAAACCAAATCATGATACCTTTAGATAGAGTTTCCCCAAATTTTTTAGCAAGACAGATTCAATCTCATCATCTTCCAAATCGTTTCCTTTTATGCCACAAGTGTATGCGGTAATGTGCTCGTTGGGATCAATGGTTCTATTGTATTTTGAGATATCTGGCATCCGAAACTTCTTCGAGATGGGCTTTGGAGCCGCACTCTGGGGGAATGGTTTTTGCACGAACTTCTTCGAGTCTAGTCCTTTCAAAATCGGAGGTGCTCCCGGTATCTGGTCGACCCTCGAGTTGCATGTCTCCACCTTTTTGTCATTATCTTCAATTTTCATTTCCTCGGTCTATATCCTTTTGGCGAGCTCTTCGAGCATTTTAATAATAGCGGGGTCAGTCCCCGAGCCATATTCATCGAGCCTCTCTATCGTCGGTTTAGCACACCGAGTGTTCACTAGTTCGGCTGTGTTGGGGGTTCTATTCTGACTCTAAAGTTGAGCAATGGTGACTTTCTCGGCTTGCAACATTTCAAATATCACCTGGAGGCTGACTCCTCCTTCGGCTGTATTGGGGGTTCTATTCTGACTCCGGCTTGGGCTTCCCTGTGTGTATTCCTTACGGGGTCAATGCCTGTGTCCGTGTTTAGAACGTTATGCAAACTGATATCAACTGGCTCTATATTTGGCACTCCCTCAGGGTTTATGGGTGGTACACCGACCACTATACCGCTATTTTCTCCAAGTCCCTCCCTATCATGAGCGGGTACGTTTTGTGTGGTAGACATATCTTAGCCTGAAATCAAAGCATCTTTGACAAGAAAAGTGTGAAGAATAACGTGTGTTATCAGAAAACTAACACTAAAATAATCACTATTATCTTTAGCCCTACGGTGGGTGCGAAACTATTTACCTCGAAAAATGGATGTAACAATAAAATGTGATTTGTGGTTTTAAAGATATGTGATTTATTCCAATACTAGTGAATATACAAATAATAATAAGTTTAAGTAAGAAGAATTGATCAACCAAACTAATGTTGCTAGAAAAATAAGGACCTCGAGCTCGATTTTCTTGGGGGGCTCGAGTTCGGCTAAGAGCAATGAAGTATGAACAATAAAGTAAAAACAATAAGGCCGAAGAACAATTGTTGAGCACGGTAAACAAGAAAAACAGAGTAGAATATTCTATTGCAGTGAATAATGTGTCCTTTAAAAATGAATGGGGTCCTCTTTATATAGGAGGAGAAAACCCCAATATAGTATATTCCTAATTATGGTAAAGAATTATATTGGTACATGTGCATAACCAACTAGTATAGACCTGTACCATATTGTACAAATATTATCTTTTGATTTATGTCTTGATTCACTTGTCCCTGAGAAATTCCCGCGAGTGTCTTCAAGATTGTACTACCCTTGATGTAGGTCATGCCAGTCCTCCGATCTACTCCCTCAAGGTTTGTCCTTCAGTCGGGTCCGACCCCCGCTTCGAGTTGCCCAGACTCGGACTCATACCCCAATTTAGGACTTCGAAATATAGCTCCTTGATTTTGACCGTATTCACCTTTTTGCATACATCATAAGAATCTCCTTGGAATTGCCCAAATCTACCACCCAAAATACGCTCCTGAGCATAATCACAGCACGACCCCAAATTTTCTTTTCCACATACAGGACAGACCGGGATTGATGTACCCAACCTAGGGAATTTTTTCTTCTTGTGCCCTCTCTTCCCAAGACCATATCATATTTCAAGAGTCATCTAATATCTCCCCAAGTGACGCTTCTTGCAAACCAAACAATTCGGCTCATTAGTACCAACAAACCTTTTTTATTTCTCAGATACACTCACCATACGATCTGGCGGTGCGATGACATTGGTAGGACAATGACACTTTCCCTAGAAACAAGTTCTTCCAACCCTTCCACGGCTCGAAGCATTCTCCCAACAATCTTTTGTGCAATCTCCCCCAGATTCAAGGGTGGAGTCATTCCCTCCTCACTTCTTCGAACTCGTGGATTACTCATCTTGAAAATCAGACATAACGAGAAAATTAGCTCCCTATCATGGGCTCTATTACAAGATCTGGAATATCAAAGAAGTGTGAAATTTCCTAAATGTCCCAGTAGTCTCCTCATTATAGATATGATCGACAACATATCGATATGAAGGACTCTACTAGACACATCTTCGAGACAACCTAGGACACTTTAAAAAATTAGGCTCTAATACAAATTTTGTCACGCCCCAAACTCAGGGAGTGCGAACGGCGCGCAACCAAGTGAACCTGAGTGTCTTTAGCACGAGTTTAATCATGCCCAATCGGCTAGGCCATCTCCTCACGAACAATGTGGTTTGACATGTGATGCGAATAAAATGTGTTACCAAGAGTAGTATCACCATGTGCGCAACATGGCGTCCGATCTCCACCCGATCGGCTAGGCTTCCTTCCCACATATGTCGTGTGGGTTGACTTTTTCCAATTCACAGTTATTACAAGGTTCATCCCAATTTAGGTAAATAATTACAATTTCACCAATATTTCATTCTCATCCCAAATAAGGGGAAACAATCACAATCCACCTCTATATCGACACGTGTAGTTTCACGTCTGGGCCTTATGACCCACCCTTCCTCAGTTTCTAATGATACTACCAAAAACATTTTTGGTTTGATAGGTAAAAAGTTACAAATGTATTCACCTCAAAAAATTTTCACACTGAATAAATCTTCATTAGTATTTTCAACCACTCATAATAACCATATTTCCTTGGCTCTTTTAGCCATTCACAAGATTTTTCATTCGTTGCACGATGGCCGTATTTCATGTTCCACACTATCACCTCTTTTATTTTCAAGGATCACCATCAAACATAAGCATATATAATATTTCGGAAATTATAAACCTCCAATTCATTAGTAATGGAAACTGTAAAAACAAAAAGTTTCTTCCCAAAGAACGGGGCACACCGACCAGCAGTAGAAACACACATCAAAATCATAAACAAGCAATACACCATTTATTTTTGAAATACTCTTTTCCAAAAAATGACAATGTACAAATTCAACACCTGAGAATGTAGGAACCTGAATCACATTGGATATATTTATAAAGCAAAGAATTAGTTAAAGCAATCACTTATGGGGACGAATTGAGTACAAGAGCTTTTAGGCAATTCTATTTTAGAAATCATTTCAAACAGTTAAGTTCGAGGCTCATATCCTAATCTTTCTTACATCCTCTCATTTCATTGGTACCACTAGACACAATTATAACTTAAATTCTTGTCACGTTGGCCACACACTATATCCCCAATTCACTTATTTCATTTTCAAGCATCTTTAAAGATTAACAACAACAAGACATTTTTAAATCAAGACTTTAGGTACATATGTGAGAAATTAAGAGTCTCAAGCATATTGAGTTTTTCTCTGACAACTTGGCATACTATCTTTTATTAGAAATACGACTCAAAGGCATAATATTTAAATACACAATCCATACTTTGAACATATAACTTTTCGCATAAGGATCATTCAAGTTTGTAAGGGATAACCTGGAATATAGGAATTAAGAACTTGAGCCAACTATACTTGTAACTTACGGGAATATTATGGAATTATATTCTAAGAGGGAAAGTTTATCCAATATACCTCAAATTCGCCCCTTAATGTACTACAATGGTCCACTATACTAAGAAACTTCAATCTATAATAATAACATTTAATGGGACCAATATTAGTAACAAATTTCATAATTTAGGCTATTTAAGCATTTTATCAAATACCTAGTACGCATAAATCTTTACATTTCTTAACCATAGAATTAGTTCGTCAAACTACAGCCATTGACCAATAATTTATCCCATCATCATTCTTGAATAAGATATAACTTCCATCATCACATGCATGACAATCCATCTACATCCAACCAACAAAATTCCATAAAATAATCACCTTTCAATTTGTACAATGGCTACGTTTTTAAATTGAGAACATATGACTTTCAATCACCATCCCATAAGTTCCAATACTTAGTTCTTACTCATATTCTCATAATAAACCCATGCATGTTAGTCTAAGGGTGTAGGATTACCTCTTGGAAGAAATCTTGCAAAACCTTCCCTTGAGTTCTTGAAGAAATTTCTTGAAAATCTAAGGATTTCATGGTGGATTGAGTTTTTTCTAGTGTGGAAATGATAAGATTCACACCAGTATAATAGGGATTTCTTATCTTGAAGATGGGAGGAGTTGGGTGTCTTGAGAGAGTGGAGAAAAGCTCCAAATTCGTCCAAATAAAATGGGAAAAATGAGCCCACAAAATTGAAATGACTTATAAAGACCTTAAGTTGAGGTGCACCCGGTCTAGAAAAGTGAGCCTCACTTTTCTATCCACAACATACAAGGGAAGACAGGATTCGCACCCTGTCCGGTGAAGTGAGCCTTGCTTCGTTGTCTGCCAATATATATGAGTAGTATGACTTTTGTACTTGATCATATCGTTTAGTAGGAATGTCCAATTGACGAACGACTTGATAGTTAGAAACTAGACTAAAAGGGCTATGCTTTAGGGGAAAATTCATGGAAAATACCTTAATGATATGAGAGCTATACCTCTTCAGAGTCAAGTGTAGTGCAAAAATTTAGACGTCTTTTCATATAATATTTCCAACTCGTTCCAAACAAATTATTCCCATTTACAAACCTCCTTAATATGTTCTAAAACACCCTCCATATGTAGTTTCAAGTCAAAATAATATGGTTCTATCCTGTAGGTCTCCTTTAGAACCCAAAAACATGATGCACAACTATTGTTGGTGCACTATAAAGTCTTAAATTATTAGCTAATTCTACGGGGCCTTACAGAGGGTTCAAATTTTATTTCCATAGTTTGGATCTAGAGAGCTCGGTTTGTGGTAATATTTCGAGAGTTTTTCAAGGGTATCATTGGGGTAAGTTATTTTAACCCGGATTGGACTATATTTCATGATTCTATTATTGTTTTTATTATTTAATTAGTGTTTTAAATGGGAAATAGGGAAAAACATTGTGAAACTTCACAGGCTAAAATTTGGGAATTTGAAAAGGGATTTGTGGTCAGATTTGAGTACTTTTTGTCTGGTTGGACTCATTATCGGATGGGTGTTTGGATTTTGTAATTTTGGTCGGGTTCCGAGATGTGAGCCTTGGTTGACTTTTTGAGTTGACTTGTTATTTCTTTGCAAAGATCGTAATTTTATTATTTGAAATATTTTTCTATAGTTTATATTTTTAGTATGAAGTTGTTTTGGCTAAATTTGAGCCATTCAGAGTTGGATAATCGAGGTAAAGGCCTATTA